AAAATATTATTTATGAGTGGCAAACTTGCTATTTTGTTTTTTCTTTTGCTTTTAGTGTTGCCATGCAAAGTTTTTGTTACAAAAAAACAGCTAAAACGTCATGAAAAGCATTAAATTTTTAAAAAAGTAACGCCAATTTAACAGCACTGTTAAACTTTTATTATAAAAAAATAAAAAAACAAAACAAAGAACAAGCAGCATAAAAATAAAAACGGAAGAATATTTTTTTTGTTATAAATTCTAGGAAAAATGAGCTTCCGACCCAAAAACATTATGAAACGTATACAGGACATAGCAGTGGAGGATTTACAATATATAGAAACTGATTTATGTTACTACCAATTGGTAAATATAAACATTTAGAAGTTTTAAAGAAACAACTAATGACTAATAACTTGGCAGGTTTCTTTGAGTTTCCTATTGTTTGGAGCTGATAGTAACGCCTATGGTTATATATTACAAAAATTAATAATTAACAACAACCACCTCAGGGGAAAGGTTTGGGAGCAACAGGCCAACTTGTTACCAGTGGTATATTGACAAATTATGCGAATATAAATCCTGAAACTTGGCGTTTACATTTAGTAGAAGCCTTAGCTATTATCAGGGCCAAAAGGGTCTTACGCAAACTGGGTTTGCTCTGGCAGGAAATCTATCATCATTATTTGCCACATGTGGCCGAAATAAGTGTTTATGTACATCCATTACTAAAGGTTTTATATAAAATTGCCGAACGTTTAACACCGGAACAGGCCGGCCGGCTGATTCATTATATCCATACAAAATACGATGAGTGTCAGCATTTACGTTTCTATGATTATTCCTATCTGGAGGTATTTTTCTTAAATTGGTTAACGAAAGGGGTGATTGCTGTGGGCAATAGAAATTTGGAAAACTCTAATATACAAATACTTATTGAATTTTTTAAATTTAATGATATGGATTCATTTAAGGATTTACTACTTGAAACCATAAATCAACAGTTAGATAACGTAACTATTAATCAAGAACAGCAAGCGGTCAACAATGATAGACTGGAGGAGCAGCCGGAAGTGGATAAAGATTCCGGCATTTCTGTATCGCACGATTCCTGTACGACTACCCAGCTTAGTGAAGTTAAAGCTGAATTATCTGGAGATTTTGATGCTGCTGAACGTTATAAAATAACTAAAGAGAATGCTGGTTATATTTTGATAATAAATCAAAATACATTCTATGAAGAAACTGATCCCAGTTTACAGGTAATTGTAACTTAAAAATTCATTCTCGTATTTCTTTTACATATTTTCCCTTTAGCATCTATTACCAGAAAAGAAATTTAACCCTAAACGTAATGGTACCGACATTGATCGTGATAGACTTAAAGCAGTATTTTCTTCCTACGGTTATATACCTTTGGTATTTAATAATCTTACACATTGGGAGATTTTACATCACATACGTGAAACTACTAAGAAAAGTTTGCTTAAAGATTCCATTATTATTTGCATGCTTACCCATGGTATGGAAGGTAAGAGTAAAAACAAGAAAAAAATAGTAGAAATATACTTTTCTTAATTGAAAAGAAGAAGAAAAGTACTTTCTTTCTAAATATCTGTAAAAATTTCAACAATTTAAAAAAAAGTAGTAGAAAAGTACTTTTTTTAAATAGAAAAATTACACAAAATATTATATTTTTCTTACATTTTAATGCAAAATAATCTTAAGAAAACAACTTTTTTTTTTTTTTTAATTTCAAAGACTTGAAAATAGTAGTAGAAAAGTACTATTAACAATTATGATAAAATTAAAAAAATGCGTTATTTAGCATTTAGGTCCAAGTAAAAATAAAGAAAATTTAAAAATTTTTGAAAATTTTAACTATTTAAAAAAGTAGTAGAAAAGTACTTTTATTTTCTAAATAGAAAAATTACACAAAATATTATATTTTTCTTACATTTTAATGCAAATAATCTTAAGAAAACAACTTTTTTTTTGAAAATTTCAAAGATTTGAAAATAGTAGTAGAAAAATACTTTTTACAATTATGATAAAATTAAAAAAATACGTTATTTAGCATTTAGGTCCAAGTAAAAATAAAGAAAATTTAAAAATTTGTGAAAATTTTAACTATTTAAAAAAGTAGTAGAAAAGTACTCTTTTTCTAAATAGAAAAATTACACAAATATTATATTTTTCTTACATTTTAATGCAAATAATCTTAAGAAAACAAACTTTTTGGAAAATTTCAAAGATTTGAAAATAGTAGTAGAAAAGTACTCTTTACAATTATGATAAAATTAAAAAATACGTTATTTAGCATTTAGGTCCAAGTAAAAATAAAGAAAATTTAAAAATTTGTGAAAATTTTAACTATTTAAAAAAGTAGTAGAAAAGTACTCTTTTTCTAAATAGAAAAATTACACAAATATTATATTTTTCTTACATTTTAATGCAAATAATCTTAAGAAAAAAACTTTTTTTTGAAAATTTCAAAGATTTGAAAATAGTAGTAGAAAAGTACTTTTTACAATTATGATAAAATTTAAAAAAATACGTTATTTAGCTTTTAGGTCCAAGTAAAAATAAAGAAAATTTAAAAATTTGTGAAAATTTTAACTATTTAAAAAAGTAGTAGAAAAGTACTATTTTTCTAAATAGAAAAATTACACAAAATATTATATTTTTCTTACATTTTAATGCAAATAATCTTAAGAAAACAAGTTTTTTTTTAAATTTCAAAGATTTGAAAATAGTAGTAGAAAAGTACCTTTTACAATTATGATAAAATTAAAAAAAATACGTTATTTAGCATTTTGTTCCAAGGAATAATTAAAAAAATTAAAAATCAGTAAAAATTTCAATAATTTAAAAAAAGTAGTAGAAAAGTACTTTTTTAAATAGAAAAATTACACAAAATATTATATTTTTCTGACATTTTAATGCAATTAATCTTAAGAAAACATTTTTGTTTTTAAAAATTACAAAAAATTTGAAATAAGTAGTAGAAAAGTACTTTTTACAATTATGAAAAAATTAAAAAAAAAAAACGTTATTTAGCATTTGCTTCCAAGGAAAAATGAAAAAAAAAAAAAAAATCAGTAAAAATTTCAATAATTTAAAAAAGTAGTAGAAAAGTACTTTTTTCCAAATAGAAAAATTGATAAAATATTATATTTTCCTTACATTTTAATGCAAATAATCTTAATAAAATATGAACAGGGATTCAAAATGAGAAAATTTACTAAATTTGGCCTTAATCGAAAAAAGTACTTTTCTACTACTTTTTTTAAATTGTTAAAATTTTCAGCATTTTTCTACTTCTCCTTTATATTTAACTGAAACTAAAATCAAAATATAAAATTTTGTTTAATTTTGATCGAAATGAAAAAGTACTTTTCTGCTACTTTTTGTAAAAATTGACATTTTCACAAAATTGTGTGTCAAAAAAGTTATTTACATGAACAGGGCAGATAAATGAGAAAATTTACTAAATTTTGCCTTCAATTGAAAAAAGTAACTTTTCTACTACTTTTTTTAAATTGTTAAAATTTTCTTAATTTTTTCCAGTTTTTTCCCTTATATTTAACTGAAACGAGAAGACAAATATAAAATTTCGTTAATTTGTGATCGAAATGAAAAAAGTACTTTTCTACCTAGTTTTTGTTAAAAATTGGAAATTTTCATAAAATTATGTGGGGGTCAAACAAGTTAATTTACATGAACAGGAATGCAATTAGGAAAATTTCCTACATTTGGCCTTATTGAAAAAAGTACTTTTCTACTACTTTTTTAAATTGTTAAAATTTTCTTAATTTTTCCGTTTTTCCTTTATTTAACTGAAACTAAAAGCAAAATATAAATATTGTTTAATTTTGATCGAAATGAAAAAGTACTTTTCTACTACTTTTTGTAAAAATTGAAATTTTCATAAAATTATGTGTCAAACAAGTTATTTACATGAACAGGAATGCAAATTGAGAAAATTTACTACATTTGGCCTTAATTGAAAAAAGTACTTTTCTACTACTTTTTAAATTGTTAAAATTTTCTTAATTTTTTCCGTTTTTCCCTTATATTTAACTGAAACTAGAAGAAAAATATAAAATTTCGTTTAATTTTGATCGAAATGAAAAAAGTACTTTTCTACTATTTTTTGTAAAAATTGAAATTTTCATAAAATTATGTGTCAAACAAGTTATTTACATGAACAGGAATGCAATTGAGAAAATTTACTACATTTGGCCTTAATTGAAAAAAGTACTTTTCTACTACTTTTTTTAAATTGTTAAAATTTTCTTAATTTTTCCGTTTTTTCCTTTATATTTAACTGAAACTAAAAGCAAAATATAAAATATTGTTTAATTTTGATCGAAATGAAAAAGTACTTTTCTACTACTTTTTGTAAAAATTGAAATTTTCATAAAATTATGTGTCAAAGAAGTTATTTACATGAATAGGGATACGAAATGAGAAAATTTATTAGTTTTTGCTTTAATTGAAAAAAGTACTTTTCTACTACTTTTTTTAAATTGTCAAAATTTTTAGCTTTTTTCTATTTCTCCTATATATTTAACTGAAACTAGAAGCAAAATAATTTTTTTTTAATTTGGATCAAATTGAAAAAACTACTTTTCTACTACTTTTTGTAAAAATTGAAATTTTCATAAAATTATGTGTCAAAGAAGTTATTACATGAACAGGGAAGCAAAATGAGAAAATTTATTAAATTTGGCCTTAATTGAAAAAAGTACTTTTCTACTACTTTTTTTAAATTGTTAAAATTTTCAGCATTTTTTCCACTTTTCCTTTATATTTACCTAAAACTAAAGGAAAATATAAAATTTTGTTTAATTTTAATGGAAATTAAAAAAGTACTTTCTACTACTTTTGTAAAATTTAAATTTTTATGAAATTATCTGACAATCAAATTATTACATGAACTGGGAAGCAAAATGAGAAAATTTATTAGTTTTTGCTTTAAATGAAAAAGCACTTTTCTACTACTTTTTTTAAATTGCCAAAATTTTCAGCATTTTTCCACTTTTCCTTTATATTTACCTAAAACTAAAGGAAAATATAAAATTTTGTTTAATTTTGGTGGAAATTAAAAAAGTACTTTTCTACTACTTTTTTTAAATTGTTAAAATTTTCAGCATTTTTCCACTTTTCCTTTATATTTACCTAAACTAAAGGAAAATATAAAATTTTGTTTAATTTTGGTGGAAATTAAAAAAGTACTTTTCTACTACTTTTTGTAAAAATTAAAATTTTTATGAAATTATCTGACAATCAAATTATTTACATGAACTGGGAAGCAAAATTAGAAAATTTATTAGTTTTTGCTTTAATTGAAAAAAGTACTTTTCTACTACTTTTTTTAAATTGTTAAAATTTTCAGCATTTTTGAACTTTTCCTTTATATTTACCTAAAACTAAAGGAAAATATAAATTTTATTTAATTTTGGTGGAAATTAAAAAAGTACTTTTCTACTACTTTTTGTAAAAATTAAAATTTTTATGAAATTATCTGACAATCAAATTATTTACATGAACTGGGAAGCAAAATGAGAAAATTTATTAGTTTTTGCTTTAAATGAAAAAAGCACTTTTCTACTACTTTTTTTTAAATTGCCAAAATTTTCAGCATTTTTCCACTTTTCCTTTATATTTACCTAAAACTAAAGGAAAATATAAAATTTTGTTTAATTTTGGTGGAAATTAAAAAAGTACTTTTCTACTACTTTTTTTAAATTGTTAAAATTTTCAGCATTTTTCCACTTTTCCTTTATATTTACCTAAAACTAAAGGAAAATATAAAATTTTGTTTAATTTTGTTGGAAATTAAAAAAGTACTTTTCTACTACTTTTTGTAAAAATTAAAATTTTATGAAATTATCTGACAATCAAATTATTTACATGAACTGGGAAGCAAAATTAGAAAATTTATTAGTTTTTGCTTTAAATGAAAAAAGCACTTTTCTACTACTTATTTTAATTTGTTAATATTTTTATTGACTTTTATTTTTTCTTTATAATTACCTACGTTTTATGACAGGTGCTGTATATGGCTGTAATTCTATACCGGTAGCCATAGCCGAAATTAAGGAAATATTAACTGCTGACACACTGATGGGAAAACCAAAGATGCTTTTATTTCAAGCCTGCCAAAAGCATGATCCAAAAGTCGATACGGTATTTCCGAACATTTGAAAGCCCAAAGCTTTTACCTATTGATACTATTCTCATTTTAGACAAGTACAAAATCCATTCAAAAGTTTTCACCCGATGCCTATGCCGACCATATTGTTGGGTATTTCTGCCATAAAGGGAACCGAATCTCTAAGAGATCCCGAAAAAGGTTCCTGGTATATTGAATCGTTATGTAAATTTGTGCAGAAATATGGTAATCGGTAAGTTGTAAAAGTTTTTTTCAGAATTTTATGTTAATTTCTTATAAATATATTTTAGCAAGCATATGGCGGGACATTTTAACGGCTGTTACTAGAGAGATTTCCAAAAAACGTGCCTCCGAAAATGATTTTATGCTACCCGAAACCTACACCACATTGCGCAAGGAACTTTATTTGCCTGCTTAAAGAGGTTATCTTCTAGTCTTTGATACTTTAAGCAAAAGCCTGTTTTTATAGGTCAATGTCTTTTAATTCTGTTTATTTTGAATTTGATCTCTATAGCAGGCTGTTTTATTTATTTTTTTTTAATTTTTTACCAAAAAGTTTTAAATTATGTTTGTTAATTAACACAAAATTATTATTAAACTAAAGTGTACATAGTTTGTACAATAGTTTATGTTTTAAAAAATTTTTATTTTCTTTTGCTAATTCTTCTAAAGAATTTAATAAAATTCAATTTTTATATTTTGTAAATTGTTCATTTATAAAATGTTGTTTTTAAAACTCTCTTAAATATGCCATAGTTTAGTCTGCAGTGTAGTATGGAGTCTAAGCTATAGTCTAGACTTTACTATAGTTTTCAGTCTAAATTGTAGTCTATAGTCTAGTCTACAGTTCAGTCTATGGTCTAGGGTATAGACTAGTCTATCGTCTAGTGTATAGTGTAGTCTGTAGTCTAGTCTATAGTATAGTCTAGTCTATAGTCTAGTGTATAGTTTAGTCATATTCTAGTCTATAGTCTAGTATATAGTCTAGTCTATAGTCTAGTCTATAGTCTAGGCTATGTCTAGTATAGTCTAGTCTATAGTCTAGTCTATAGTCTAGTCTATAGTCTAGTCTATAGTCTAGTCTATAGTCTAGTCTATAGTCTAGTCTATAGTCTAGTATATAGTCTAGTCTATAGTCTAGTCTATAGTCTAGTCTATAGTCTAGTCTATAGTCTAGTCTATAGTCTAGTCTATAGTCTAGTCTATAGTCTAGTCTATAGTCTAGTCTATAGTCTAGTCTATAGTCTAGTCTATAGTCTAGTCTATAGTCTAGTCTATAGTCTAGTCTATAGTCTAGTCTATAGTCTAGTCTATAGTCTAGTCTATAGTCTAGTCTATCGTCTAGTGTATAGTGTAGTCTGTAGTCTAGTCTATAGTATAGTCTAGTCTATAGTCTAGTGTATAGTTTAGTCTATATTCTAGTCTATAGTCTAGTATATAGTCTAGTCTATAGTCTAGTCTATAGTCTAGTCTATAGTCTAGTCTATAGTCTAGTCTATAGTCTAGTCTATAGTCTAGTCTATAGTCTAGTCTATAGTCTAGTCTATAGTCTAGTCTATAGTCTAGTCTATAGTCTAGTCTATAGTCTAGTCTATAGTCTAGTCTATAGTCTAGTCTATAGTCTAGTCTATAGTCTAGTCTATAGTCTAGTCTATAGTCTAGTCTATAGTCTAGTCTATAGTCTAGTCTATAGTCGTCTATAGTCTAGTCTATAGTCTAGTCTATAGTCTAGTCTATAGTCTAGTCTATAGTTATAGTCTAGTCTATAGTCTAGTCTATAGTCTAGTCTATAGTCTAGTCTATAGTCTAGTCTATAGTCTAGTCTATAGTCTAGTCTATAGTCTAGTCTATAGTCTAGTCTATAGTCTAGTCTTAGTCTAGTATAGTCTAGTCTAGTAGTCTATAGTCTAGTCTATAGTCTAGTCTATAGTCTAGTCTAAGTCTAGTCTATAGTCTAGTCTATAGTCTAGTCTATAGGTCTAGTCTATAGTCTAGTCTATAGTCTAGTCTATAGTCTAGTCTATAGTCTAGTCTATAGTCTAGTCTATAGTCTAGTCTATAGTCTAGTCTATAGTCTAGTCTATAGTCTAGTCTATAGTCTAGTCTATAGTCTAGTCTATAGTCTAGTCTATAGTCTAGTCTATAGTCTAGTCTATAGTCTAGTCTATCGTCTAGTCTATAGTCTAGTCTATAGTCTAGTATATAGTCTAGTCTATAGTCTAGTCTATAGTCTAGTCTATAGTCTAGTCTATAGTCTAGTCTATAGTCTAGTCTATAGTCTAGTCTATAGTCTAGTCTATAGTCTAGTCTATAGTCTAGTCTATAGTCTAGTCTATAGTCTAGTCTATAGTCTAGTCTATAGTCTAGTCTATAGTCTAGTCTATAGTCTAGTCTATAGTCTAGTCTATAGTCTAGTCTATAGTCTAGTCTATAGTCTAGTCTATAGTCTAGTCTATAGTCTAGTCTATAGTCTAGTCTATAGTCTAGTCTATAGTCTAGTCTATAGTCTAGTCTTTAGTCCAGTGTATAGTCTAGTCAATAGTCTAGTGTATAGTCTAATCTATAGTCTAGTATATGGAATGGTCTGTAGTCTAGTCTATGGTTTAGTCTATAGTCTAGCCTATAGTTTAGTCTATAGTCTAATCTATAGTAAAGTCTATGGTCTACTATATAGTGTAGTTTATCGTCTAATTTATAGTGCAGTCTATAGTCTTGGTTATAGTCTAGTCTATAGTCTAGTCTATAGTCTAGTCTATAGTCTAGTCTATAGTCTAGTCTATAGTCTAGTCTATAGTCTAGTCTATAGTCTAATCTATAGTCTAGTATATGGAATGGTCTGTAGTCTAGCCTATAGTTTAGTCTATAGTCTAGTCTATAGTCTAATCTATGGTAAAGTCTATGGTCTAGTCTATAGTCTAATCTATAGTAAAGTCTATGGGCTAGTATATACTCTAGTCTATAGTCTAGTCTATAGTTTAGTGTATTATTTAGTCTATAGTCTAGTCTATAGTATAGGCTATAGTCTAGTGTATAGTTTAGTGTATAGTCTAGTCTATAGTCTAGTGTATAGTCTAATCTATAGTCTAGTATATGGAATGGCCTATAGTCTAGTCTATGGTTTAATCAATGATTTAGTCTATAGTCTAGCCTATAGCTTACTATATAGTCTAGCCTTTAGTTTAGCCTATAGCCTAGTCTATAGTCTAATATATACTCTAGTCTATAGTCCAATTTATAGGCTAGTCTATAGTATGGTCTACAGTTCAGTCTATAGTTAAGTCTATATTCCATATTCATACTTATCAAACTTATGAAAATTGTCTAAATTAAAAACAATACATGTTCATCTTCAAACAAAATTAATTAAAAATTTTAAAGTTAAAAATAACATTTTCTTTAAACGTTCAAAACAACCCGTCCATATACTTAACTTAACAAAGTCAACAACCATTCCCTCTTTTAATACAACTGTAAACATTAATTTTTAATAAATTCCGTTAAGAAATTTTACTTACTTCCATTTCCGTTGCAGCTGATCTTCTGATTTCTTTTAATTTATTTCTTAACTTCAGAACTTTGTTCAGAACATGCTCCATTTTCTATTTTAATACACATACATACTTTTTCTTAAAACACATTCATATCTACTACTCATTCTTTATATTTTAATTTTTTTTAACATTTTATTTTCATTGCTTTTACATTTACTTTAACATTTCAACTTAACACTGCATTAACAGTCTCTTATTAAGTAAACAATAACAACAGAAGGAAACAGCAATCATTACGGAAACTTAAAAAATAAACAACTCGAAACTTTTTCTTCTTTTTTTATATATTTTCTTTATTTTCTCTAAACTTTTTTTCTTTCTCACTTTGCTCTGCTTTTTTAAGCTTACTTTTATTTTCTCTCAGCTTTTTTTTCTTTCTTACTTTGCTCTGCTTTTTTAAGCTTGCTCTTTTCTTAACATTTTTCACCAACACTTTAACACTCTTTGTATAAACGCTACGAAGGAACCCGTGAAAAGGAAACTGCGGCCGGCATATAATTTCTAACAAATTTTCTAACATGTTTTCTTATATTTTCTTTAAGATTTTTAAGTAAATTCTTTTACACAACTATAAAACTATACATTTATTATATTTTTATGCAAAAATATTTAAATATTCTTTATTATTTTCTTTATAATTTAAGAATAAAACTAAGACACTTCTTCTAACCAACCGAACCGTGTGAAAATTACGCGAGAACTAAATCTACTTAGATTAGTATGTATCCATTAATAAGAGAAACGTCAAAAACTTATGATTGAGAGGAGATAAAAGGGAGTAAATTAATGTCAATGCGCGACTTACTAAAGTAAATGTTTTATGGGAAAATTGCAAGTAGGAGGATTAAACAAAATTATTATGCTGATGGGAAGCTTAATTATTTAATTTTTTAATGTTTAATGTTTAAGGAGAATTTATTTAAAAGAGAGTTTTTAATATGAGTGGTAGTGATGGAATGTGGTAATAAGGTTTTACCCTAGAACATAGTCTACACTAAACTCTACACTTAAGTAGTTTACAACTAACTATAGACCACGCAATAGACTAGACTATAAACTATAGTCCAAATAGACTAGACTATAGACTAGACTATAGGACTAGACTATAGACTAGACTATAGACTAGACTATAGACTAGACTATAGACTAGACTATAGACTAGACTATGACTATAGACTAGACTATAGACTAGACTATAGACTAGACTATAGACTAGACTATAGACTAGACTATAGACTAGACTATAGACTAGACTATAGACTAGACTATAGACTAGACTATACTAGACTAAGACTATAGACTAGACTATAGACTAGACTATAGACTAGACTATAGAGACTATAGACTATAGACTAGACTATAGACTAGACTATAGACTAGACTATAGACTAGACTATAGACTAGACTATAGACTAGACTAGACTAGACTATAGACTAGACTATAGACTAGACTATAGACTAGACTATAGACTAGACTATAGACTAGACTATAGACTAGACTATAGACTAGACTATAGACTAGACTAGACTAGACTATAGACTAGACTATAGACTGGACTATAGACTAGCCTATAGACTAGACTATAGACTAGACTATAGACTAGACTATAGACTAGACTATAGACTAGACTATAGACTAGACTATAGACTAGACTATAGACTAGACTATAGACTAGACTATAGACTAGACTATAGACTAGACTATAGACTAGACTATAGACTAGACTATAGAATAGACTATAGACTAGGACTATAGAATAGACTATAGACTAGACTATAGACTAGACTATAGACTAGACTATAGACTAGAATATAGAATAGACTATAGACTAGACTATAGACTAGACTATAGACTAGACTATAGATTAGACTATAGATAGGACTATAGACTGGACTATAGACTGGACTATAGACTAGACTATAGACTAGACTATAGACTGGACTATAGACTAGGACTATAGACTAGACTATAGACTAGACTATAGACTAGACTACCAGACTAGACTATAGACCGATGACTATATACTGGACTATAGACTAGACTATAGACTAGACTATAGACTAGACTCTAGACTAGACATACTACTAGAGACTAGACTAGGCTATAGACTAGACTATAGACTAGACTATAGACTAGACTATAGACT